TAGATTACATTACTTTAAACAGATTCTGAAGTCTGGAAAAGGAAACCTATTTACAGATTGAGCGCTCTAATAACTAATGTCATACGCTGTTTGTGAGGCATTCACAGACCATCGTCCTGCAAGAAACTGAGTAAGTATGGCTTGCCGCTACTTGCAGAATGGGCTTGTGTTTTATACCGGGATTACTGAGGCGCTTGGCAGAAGGCCAGCATTCATTCATTGGCCTCTATTAATAATTACCAAGTGTCATTTTTAGCATCTGCAAAGCTCAGTAGGACTACTCCTCGTTCTAAACGGCGTTTAATTCATTAAATTACATTTTATTGTTGCCGTTTTTTTTTTTTACGAAACCATCATCTGGATAGCAGTGTGAATTTTTAGTTTCCCCTGCCGCGGAAGTCCCGGTTTGAGCCATACTCACATGTCGTCCCTCTCTCACAAACCTTTGCAACCACACTAAAGCTGTATTTTACCAAGTCACGCTAAAATACCGCTTCGAGCCAGATACACCGAAATAAGCCAAGTCCCTTCCTGATGAGTACCGTAGTCACGCATTCCCCAGTCAAGTTAAACTGGATTTCCTGCCATAACATCCATATACACAGGTATACAGATCATCAGATCGGAATAAAAGGTGCCCTGTGCAGCAGCAGTATTATACAGTAGATCAGCACAGACCCACCCGTTACCTAAAAGTCGCATTCGGTTACTAGATGATTGTGTTCTTCCAGAGCATTGGTGGGAGTTCCTGGCTATGCGACTTTTCGCTTCCGTCCATTCACAATGCTGTATTCAGCTTTAACGAAAATAGTGATATCTGTGTAACAGAACCTAACAAATGTTAAAAGTTTTTTTTTTCCATCAGGCAGCATGTTTTTGTTAATGGTGTGAAAGTAATGTATAAAAATGAACTATAGGAGGATCTGTGAGGTTCGAGAATAGTGAAAACTAGAAACTGATTAAATATGTGGTTGTAGGGACCATAAACATAGTCTTAAACAGAACTGAATCAGTACAGGTTAAGCTAAGGAGAGCAGTAGGGGAACCCAGACTAGGCTGCCGAGGTGCCAGGAGCATTAGACCCGGCTCCGCTGGGTGGGAGGTGAAGACAGAGTCTCGACAGAAGGCCAAAAACAGTGTGCTTCTGTAAACACGAGTGAAAGCTTACGTGTTAAAAAAAGACACCCAAACTGACACAGAAGGAACAATCATTTTATTTTTAACTCCAAACATAGCCAGGTACCTTGCAAGCTAAACACAACACGTCCTGTGTGTAGAGACCCAGAAAGACCGAGGTTCGATTATAATGGCACCGGAATAAAGCCTCACTGTGGGATTTCTGGACATTTCCTGTGTGTGGAGGAGCCCCAGGTATGATGGCGGCCGGGGGCCACGAGCTGGCCCCGTGTGATAGTTCAGCACATGCTCAGATCGCATCCCCCCTCGCTGCAGAGGTCCCAGGGAACCGGTTTTCTGGTTGCAGGTGGCTGCATTCTGCAGATTCACACAGGCTGTAGATCTGTTTTTCGCTCCTCGGCACGTGACCCATGCATGATCTCCTTTGGGGATAAGGTGTAATTTGAAACCAAGTCTGTCTGCCTCAAAGCCATTTTAGTTTTTCACATTTTAAAGACATAGTTTTTTTTTGTTTTTTTTATATATCATGTCATCATAGTATTTTTAATATCATCAATTTTATTGCTCACATAAATGCCAGATTTGTGTGCACTGAGCAAAATCATTGGTTGATTGTTATTTCAGATATTGAAATGCTCACCGTTTTTCTTTTTTTTTTTTCCACCTGCACTAAATTAATAGCATATATTCCTGTTTAAATACAGTTATGAAGGTTTGTGTAGGAAGTGAACGTAAAATTGTGAAACTTTCACCACGGGTACTGAAAAAAAACCCTCAAACTCATTCTATACATTTTCAGACAGACGTCACCCAAAAAAATAACGCTTGAATGGCAGACTGAATACCTTGCAAAAAAAACATACTGTTTATTCCACTGTTCTCTATACAGCCAACCTAAGATAGGCACATCTTTCAATGTCTGTATTTGATGAACAGTGTGATGTATGCTGGTTTTTGTTCACATGTAGTCGGGGGGGATATGCCCGAGCTGGGTGTTTCCGTGACACGTCCAATTGTGACTCCATGATAAGCCCAATCTGTGCGGCGCATCTCGCAGGTCACCACTGCTCACTGTTGATGAATAAATCCTTCCCCGTTCCACTCCTGTACATACCATGCCCGTGTTTACGTCTTCTTCCAGTGGGTGTCAATCAACTCAATGGCTGGTGTGACTTGCGGGGTGCGAATTTGAGGTTTGGCAGGAATAAGAAGCCGATACTTGCAAGGGAGATGCGAATGTAATTAGTTTTGATGACGCGTATAGTTTGGACATGGCCTCCAGACTGTCCCTTGCTGTGTCACCCCTGCCTCAAGGCATTGGTTCCAGGCTCAAAGGATAAGCAGAAGATGAACGGATGAATATTTTGGTGCTTGAGTAATAAATTAAAAATCTGAATTATTAGGGCCTATCCCTTGTAGGAATGTTCTGATTTAGACTATATATGGTGTAAAGAGGAGTGCTCCTGTTGCCTGACGTCTGCTAGCATGTGACGTAGGAGAGCGGTATGGGGTCACCCAGGAAATGGTGACCTTGGGCTCCTCGGTCACTCTCATGTCATGTTTCGTGTAATGACTATTTTACTGTCCAATAATCTTCTGCGCTTGGAGGCACAAACAATGACATTTACTAAAAGGCTGACTGACGACCTAGATAAGGACGATGCAATTGAGAATATTGGTTATTGAAGTAACAGAACCTAACAAGAGCTGGTCTATCCCTCTACTTGCAGAAGAGATCAATTGAATAGCATATGAAAAGTGTCTGACAACATGTTTACTGTCTGTCGGAGGGGGGGGGGGGGGGGAATTGCCCCTGATCCTTCTAACAGGAGCTTGATTTCAGTCCTAACCACATGAACATTCCTGTCTCTAGAGCCATGTTTGCATTGCAGGCCTCATTGTCCAATCCCCATTGTTTGCTCAGCTCAGATTTGCCTATCTTGACAGCTCACATTCATAGTTACAAATGACCTGTATCTAATTATAATCGGAACGCGACTGTCTCCTGAACTGACACGCATGTGCACGTTGCTGTGTATTCCGCTCTAACCATAAACGTCGCGTACAACAGAACATGTCCAGCACATGCATGTAGGCCAAATACTACATGAATTCTGATCTGACTGTTCACAATTATGTGGCATGGTCATGAATCGGATATGTATCCGATCTAAAGTGATTTGAAAAGATTGGATTTCTGTGTCCACACAGCCCAGAAAACATCAGATCTTTATCTCATTAAGACAAAAAAAAAATCAGCCTGGTAGTGTGAATGTAGCCTGTCCTCTGTCATCTTGTGTGGGGGGTTAGGGGACTCTTGGCTTGAATTGCATTGAATGCTAACATAAGCCTCAGGTGCCATCAACAGCCTGTCACTGATTAGTTTAAAGAATGATTGGTAGTTTAGCACAGCTTCATTATAATCTTTTAGAAATATGCTTTACGCATCATCAAGGCTATGTTGTGATGAGTTAATTACCACTGCCATGTTTGTAGCAGCCAATTATCCACTAGGGACTTTGGAAACTTTTTACAATTGTCTTTTCTTTTCATTTAATTTGTTTGCTGAATTACTGAACTACTGATGGTTTATAAAAATGAAAACAGGCTCCCTGGCAGAACACCTTTAAGACATGTCAAACAATCTGAGATGTTTACATAGTAAGGAATGACACCCCCCCCCCCCCCTTCCATGTTGGTATGATCCAACGAGGCTTTGCCCGTGTGTGCCCTGCATCTGAAAGCCTAAGAAAGTCCCATTGTCGTCATACAGGATGGCCATGGGGAAGTAATCCCCCGGCCTGTCCAGGTAGAGCTGAGAAGTCATAGCTTGCCAGTGGCCCAAAACCACTTCCTCTTATTGTCTAGCTGTAAATGCAGGAAACTTGTTGATTGATAATCCCCCTACATGCGTTTTTCTTTTTCTTTTTTTTTAGATATGCAGTTGAATAAGGTTATTAAATTTACTCTTTTGCAATATACACCATATTTTTTCTAGTGCGGCAGCTCATGTTCGAACCTCAGCCATACTGCTCCTGATTATTTACCCTGAATTATTTACCACCTTCCCAGCCACTTAGACATTGAGGGGATGACCGTGAACCTGGAGCGAATCGTAGGAGGTGCAGGGCACACGCCCGCACACCCGACGACACCCTGCATGGGCTTCCCGCATATCGTAAGGCAATTTAGAACCGTGGTTCTCAACCCGGTTGTGGATAAAGAACATAAGCCGGCCATTTTGTTTTCCTAACATCAATAGGAACGTACTGTTACAAGGAGCATTATATTTGTTCAAGCCGATTCTTTTCTATGTACAAACAAGTGGAGTTATTTCCTAATTACACTTAGTTTACGTAGCAGATGCTTTATTCAAAGCAATGCACATTTTATTCAGAAAGCTGGGTTTCAGTCCCTGGAAGAAATGGAAGTTATGGGCTTTGCTCAATGGTCTAATAGTGAAATCACTATTGCTGACCATGGGATTTGAAGCAATAGCTGTCTGATCATAACCACAGTGCCCCAGCCCACTCGGCCACAGACCGCCTCTGTGGTTTTTTTTTGGAACTTGTCAGAAATAATAGAAAATGTATGTTTACAGGTGTAATTCAAGGTGTTTCCCCTATGGAGGTGAATGGCAAGCTCTATTCTAAGGTGCTGTACAGATCCCAACAGGGGACTTTCCAGCTGTCGCAGCCTCCCCCCTTGTCACCCTAGACGGTCCCTCCCCCCACCAATGCGCCCCCCACTTCCTCCCCCACGTCATGCGTCCGGTGTTTGCTGTGAGGCTCTGCCTCACGCCAAAAAAAAAAATATCCTTCCTGTTTTCACATTTGTCCTCAGAAAATCTTACAGGAAGTGAACCACGCGGGGAAGGAAGGAGGATCAAATATCCCATTCACAAATTTGTGGGGCAGCAGAAAATACCTATGATTCCCAGCCCCGGAACGGACAACATTGTGATGTCAGTATGAGGAAGAACAACATTTGTTTTTTTTTGGTCCTTAAAAGGCAAATTAAATCTCAAGGTTATATGCAATTCTCGGTACCATGACCACAGACATTTCGATACATGGTCTACCATCCTACTCATTGCATCCTACATTTTCACTTTGGTCCGAGGACAGCAGCCAGGGCAGTTTGTCTTTACGGCGTGTAATTTTTAACCACCAGTGACGCGGAATGGATGATGTGAACTAGTGGGCTGCAAACCACAGCCTTTGCATTCTGAACGCCTTCCCCTCGACTGTGAGCGACGTTCCCCCGCAGGACTGATATGGAATCGAAAGTTCATCCGTCAGCTGAAAACATGACCCGTTTCTTGGGTATGTAACTCGAACTCACTTCTTTGGATATAAGGAGGAAACCAATTATTTTTAACACACGAAGGACCCTGAACTGCCTCAATTCATAACCAGCCCTAGCCCGGTGAAAGCACCGAATACACAGGAAAAAAATGCCATAATTAACGTTGCTGAAAATACTTGCTCTACCACATGAATGTGGTATTTTTTAAAACCAGTGATGTGTTGTCTATATTTGCTGTTCTGGGCTATATTAAAAGCAGATGGTAAAGTCCAGATGGACAGCAGAGGGTTCACACGTGTGATTTCGTGGCAAAACATACTTTGGAGACCAGACAAACTCGTCAGCGATTCCTCCTGGTGAGGAAACTTATATATATGTGTAAACCCCTGTCGCTGATTAGTCAGGCATTGTGTGAATCACACAGACTTCAAGACTCCCGATTACAAGACGACAAGTTGTGTAGTGTGAACGGTAAAGCAATCGGATGACTTGGAAAGTCATGTAGTTTGAACTTAACCTAAACGTTGTTTTAAGGAGGTGGTCTCCCAGTATACAGCAGGCTCATTATAAGAGGAGGGGGAGCAGCCATTTTGAAATGTTTTTAGTAACTTGGCATAGGGCTCGGCTTGCTGTGAGAACACCTCCTGCTCGTGCCAGGACACTCCCACAGACACTAGTCGCAATGCCTCCATTGTGTGGAACGTAAGGTTTTCTTCCTCTTGGGCAGCTGGCTCCGTGCCAGCCAGCCAGGAGCAGGGCTTTAGGCATCTACACATATGCCTTTTGGGCTCCTTCGTGATGAAACGGGATTACGGGATGTCTGTGAGATCTAAACACTGTCTCACATGTACGTGCTTCGGCTCATTGATATGGGGAGCTTTTTGAGGGGGAAAAAAATACTGCCTTGACCTAAATATATCTGTACACGCAACGAACACCTACTCATTTATGGGGTGGACAGGAAGCCGGTTATTTCTGTCTCTCGTTTATGCTGTCGGCCACACGCTGCAGCTAGAGGAAGTCTGTGGTCTGTAAGCGAGCAGCTCAGCTGTACTGGGGACCTGTGAGGCTTCTTGCATGACCTCCTTGACACATCAATCCCCACCCCCGAGGCCTATGACGAGTGAGGGGGGAGGGGCTCATTCTTTGAACCTGAAGTCTGTATGTCTGTAACTGGCAGCCCCTGCCACCCGACTCTCCCGATAACCCTGCCTCCTCACTGCCCCTTCCTCGAACGAACTGTAAAATAATCCCGCCTCTTTCAGCTTCCCCCCTCCCCACCCACACCCGTCATAAGTAGCAAGAGGAAGTGTTTTTCACGAGAAAACTTTCGATCTCGAATCGCATGTGAAGACGAGTGCACAAAGTCTGCACCATCAGGAGAGAAAAGACTGGCATGGTGTGGCAGGTACGCTGCATACCTGGGCCGAACCAGGGCCTCCCGGTCGATGGGCACGTCTGCAGAACGGCATCCCGGCACAGGAAACTGCAGGGTATCGTCTGGTCGTCCGTTTGGCGCGTATAAGAGGGAGCACCAAACAGGAAAGAATTCGCATCTTTATCTCGCCTGACCGAGCTACAGATGCCAATTTGCGCTCTTTTTTTACAGTTGTAAAATGCTCCTGAGTTTTTAATTTTATTACGTGTCGGGGAACGCTGGTTTTCCTGCTCACACCGTTTAAGGCTTGATGGCGGGTCTGTTTCATCTACATGAACTACTTAATTTGAAGCGTGGTGAAGCATCTGTGGTACGAGGACATCTGAAAGACGCGGCGTCCAGTAAAACAGATCTGTCACCTGCTGGATAGACTCGTATGACTTCCCTGCATTGTTCCGCGACGGCTCATTGTGCAGAGTGGAATTTCCTTGTGTCGCGTAAATGTGTACAGATGGGATACCGGTCATTTAATATATACCGGGATACACGCCCAGCAGGCTGGAGGAGGCATAAGATTTAAGATCTTTGGGGTGAACAGGGAGTTGGTGCTAAGATGCTACTGAGAGAAGGACAGTGTTTTTGCTCTGTTGCTCCGAAAGCCTTCAGTTCTCAGAAGCCAATGACGTCATCGCTGTGGCACGTAGATGAAACTGATTTCTGATTTGCTTGTTGTACAGGTGTTTCTGAATACTAGCGGCTACCCCAGCAGTGTTCAGTGTGAATTTTACATTAAGTAAATATCTAAACAGTTATCTTGAACTGTTGTTTTAAGGTGGTAATGGCTGGTAGTTAGCTGTTTATTTTGTTTATATCTCACATAACACGGATAACCTATGCGCACAGAGTACGGTAGCTACTGTAGCACACACTCGCAATCTCACAGCTGCTTCCCTGCCAAAGTATTTTAGAAGGTGGTGTACAGTAAAGTGTATTTCTGGAATGAGTAAAAATACTAGCTAAAGTCAGTGAGTTAACAACTGTGTGCTTATTAGCAATTTATCAATACCAGCCATCAGGTAACTTGGTATATTGCAGTTAATGATAGACTTCAGATTGTCTTCAGACAAAGGCAGCAATAAACATATTGTTAGCAATAACTCTCCAACATGAAATACTAATTAAATATTCAGTGATACTAACGCCTAGCCTTCCTATCACTGTAGCAGAAGACAAAATATTTGTTGTGCTAATACGCGACTAGGTTAATATGGGCTAATATGCAATGCAGTATGGCTAATATGCAGTGGGTTTTGTATTAAAGAGGTGACTGCATTTGTTGCAGTTTAATTTCACTCCACCTTCAGTTCCTTGTGGTTTTATGGTTGGTTGAAGGACGCATGGAAGCACTCGGTACATAGTCAGTTTAGCTACAGTTACCAGCATCGTCTGTTGTTCTTGGTTCTGTATTTATATCAGATCTTTTTAAATGAGGCTAAGTCTGCAGTATTGGCTCATCAGACCCAAGCACAGTAAACAGAGAATTCATATGAAAGGCTTCTGTCAAGTTTATTTATATAGCACATTTTAAAATAACAGTAGTTAGTCTAAAGTGCTGTCTAAAGTGTCTTTACACAGCGTGTAGTCAGAGTATGGAATAGTCTTCCTGCTAGTGTAGTGGAAGCTAAAACCCTGGGTTCCTTTAAATCAGAGCTAGGTAAGATTTTAACAACTCTGAGCTATTAGTTAAGTTCTCCCCAAACGAGCTTGATGGGCCGAATGGCCTCCTCTCGTTTGTAAATTTCTTATGTTCTTATGTTCTTATGTACAAAAGAAAGAATTGAAACTAAGACATGCTAAACACAACAAGCCGACCCAGCTGCCATTTAACAAAATTAAGGTGTTTTAAGATACGATTTTAAATGATAATGCATAATAAGACAACTTAAAATTACATTTAAAAATGTAAATAATAATGCTAATCTGACAGGCGGCACTTACAGGATGAAGGATTTTAAATCTGCTGACAAACAGCATACAGACGACCGTATAGTCTGCCGGTTACCTGTCAAAAAGGTTTTACTCTTGATTAGTGTGTACCACTTAATTGTTACTATTTTATTGTTATTATTTAACAATGTGTCCTTTATTTGGATAAATGTCGAACAGTTGACTTGCCACCGAACGTGAAAAGGCTTTGTCGTCACACTATCGCGCCTGTGGTATGTTGGGTTTTGTCCAAAAGGATGTACAAGAAAGATTATAACCTCCATCTTACATTTGATAATCACCAGATTTATCTGGATTCACCAGAGACCAGCCACTCTGATTTGATGCAAGCCCTCATCCATTTGTATGCAGGGGTGAACTTTCAGCATCGTCGTCTGTGAGGCACGAGCTCCATGGCCTTCTGGGAAATATCTAACAGCAAAGACAGCATGGAGCCCACAGGTATAACTAACCCTGCCAAGGCAGATCTTTTCTAGTTTTTTAGATGTGCTGTATAATTTGTAAGAAATTAAGGTAAAACTTTACTTAAAGCACTCATATATAATGCATTATAGATACCTTCATAATTCATTATGATGCATTTATCAAGTTTCATAAACAGAGCTATAACGATTTATAAAGAGACATAACACATTATAACCATGTTAATTATGCATTATGAATGCTCTATTAAGCTCTCGTTTATAATGCACTATAAATACCATCATAATTCATTACTTAAGTGAAGTATTACCGAAATGGATAAGCATCTAAATAATTCATATTTGTTGTAATTATGATACATGTGACCGTGGTCATAGTTGTCATTCACACACTCATTGAGAGGGCACTGGCTCATCACTGATCTAGGATCAGTGTTCAACTGTGCTGCTGTGTTTCTCAGCAGGCGGTAGCGTCTCCTCCACGGCAGCGGAGTCCGACATTTACCGCAGCCTCCAGGCAGTACTCAGAGAGGTGGACTGCCGCCACCCCGCCTCCCTGTTCAACCGAGGTGAGCAAAGCCGTACAGAAATTCAGTGTTTTTATAGATAATGCTAATACATGGCGTGCTAGCTAAAAGCAATGCTTATCTGATATTTAGAGGGTGGTTTTGTCGACGCCTCCATGTATAACCTTGTGCATCTCTGTGAATGAGAGCAGATAAAGCACAGTGTGTTTAAATATACCTGTGGTTAAAGTGCTGAAGGTTCAGACCTCTGAGGTTTTTGAAGAACTTGTGCGACTCGTGTGAGTTCATTGAAATGTTCGCAAAATTAGCTGACAAACGTGGAATTGGGAGAGTGGGTCATTTTACAAACTGAGTTTAATCTAGTTCAGCGGTTCTCAACCTTATTTGCACTGCAACCCAATTTTAACCCTGTCAGCTCAGTCGCAGTCCTATATCAATTATAGGTTTAAATTAAAGCTGTGATCAAGTGCACAGTGCACTATGCAATTTACATCAATCAATCGCACAAATCTGATTGGATGTGCCAGTGGATTTTAAATTAAGCAGCTGTGGTTTGGCTTCTTGGATTGGTTGAGTGGTCACTAGTTTTGCGCTAAGCATTTGCAGAACCAAGACCTGTTATATAGGTTAATTCTAGAATTGGGGCTGGGAAATCTGATCGTGGATCAGCATAGGAGCTTGCCGGAGAATGATTGTAATTCATTTTTACCAGCAAGTTTCTAAAAAGGCAGCTTTTCCAGAGGCCTGGTTATACAGGGAAGAACAGGTAACCAGTTTGGCAGGGAGCCCTGTAACAGCTGTGTATCTTTCCTTCATCCTGTCTGAAGGGATGCTGCGTTGGACTCTGCACAAGAAGGTCCAGAACCATCCCATGAACAGCCTCTCCCTGGTGAAAGTGGTGGTCAAGGAGCTAGAGAGGGTACGGGCAGAAACGATCGCGACAAAAAAAGCAGCCATCTTGGTTCCAAGGCTTAAAGAAAACCTCACAAATTAGTGCTGTGGGAAGACCTGTTCAAAGGAGGGGTGTTAAAGCTGGTTGAACTCTTGCCCCATTAGTGGGGAGATCTAAAAATAACCCTGGGACAAGTGTTAAACATCTACTAAGACTATGACTCTAAGAAGAGTCAAGCAACCCCACAGTCCCGAATCAGCCTGTAACACCAAAAAACAGGTGTTGGCACTAATCGTGGCCCGCTCCCAAATGCACATGAGGAAAAAACTAACCGTATCAATGAGAAATTTACAGGAAGATTTGCTGTTGACACACAACTTCATTTACTGTTAGACACTTATTCAGAAAACAGCAGGGGACACTCTGACAGGGTGCCTTTTGTACTGATTTACCGCTTGTACTACTAAAAGCACCTGGGGGGTAAAGATTAAGTCACCCCACCCCTGGCAATTTTACCGCATTAGTACTTTGAGAGATCAACTTACCCTGAGTTTCTTCTGGCTCGTACAGGCGGAAAGGCTGGACGTTAAGACGTACATTATTCCGCTCCTTCACACTCTCATCTATGCTGTCATTCAGGTGAGAGTCGTTTCCACCCACAAGCTCACTCTTCTCGTTTTTGTGAGTATCTGCTCTTCGCTTCCCTTCCACTGTGTTCGTCTCAAATGGCTGTCGGGAAAATTCACGTTGTTGACGTTTCCCCTTTTTCTGCCTTTGTTGTTTTTTTATTATTATTATTTGTATCAGACTTTCTGTTTTGTCCTGATTTCAATCTGCATGCTTCATTCCCGCTTATTATTCATAGCCGTCCTGACCCTCCCATTGGCTCGCAGTCAGTTTCCATGGCGAATCCGGTACCATCCTGTTGTCTTTGGCGTGTCGCAGGCTTCTTACATTCCGGACGAACTATACAAGCGGGTGTATGACATCTGCAAGCGGCTGCTGATCCTGCCGCAGCCGTACTGCATCGTGGGCCTCGGCTACGCCAAGCACATGAAGACGGAGATGTCCACGCCAGGTATGCGGCACTGCGATCCGGCCGGTGCAGTCGTGTGCGTAGGGCCACATATTGGCTATGGGCAAAATGAACAAAAGTGAGTGTGTTTTTCTGTTTGACGTCACAGCAGTGAAAATACACACGTTTACCCGTCTGTGGCTGAGTGTCACCCCGTTAACCCTATAGATGCCCGTTTACTTCTGCCGTTTTACACTCCCCTGCTTATGTTCCCACCCCCCTTTTAACCACCTATCCTAGTCATGATCATGGGACTCCCTAAATTCCCCCGCCTGCAATTTGAGCTGGGAATTTCACAATGCAATTCTCTTAATCTGTATTTATTCAAAATGCGCAGGTATGCTTATGATTGAACAGGAAGTGTGCCACTTCTTTGTACTTCACTGGGAAGAATGCAGTCTTTCACGGCGAATCCGTGCTTCCTTCACCTCTACACCAGTTTGCCCATTAACGCTGTGTTTGATGCCCCTTTGGTTACGGCCAAGTCAAAGTACTGCTGTCCTTGCGTGCTGGTCTTCAGAAACTGCAGCCGTCACCCTGTTATTCTGTCCCTAGGTGTGATGTACCAGAGGATGGTACTTGCCGAGCAGAACTTGAAAACTGAGTCATATCCCTTCCATGAGAAGTAAGCCTTTTCCAGCTATCACTGCATTCGTTTGCTTAGCAGATTGTTCATATCCACAGTGCAAACACATATTGCTGGCTGGTTAATGATTGACCAGCTCAGCCTGTCAGGCTTTGTCCGCCTCGCGTCATGCTGACTGTATCTCTTCCCGCAGGGTGCTGGTGTTTGCGGACCCCAGTGTCTTCTCGGGACCTCTTGGGGAAGCCGTGAGGGCCGACATGGAGCCGACGGGCTCGATCCGGGGCTCACTGGGCCATATGTGCAGTGTGATCCAGCACACGGTGCAGGCGGCACTGGGGGAGAGCTGCCAGGGCTCCGTGCTGGCCGGGGCCCTGGGGGTCAGTCGAATCGCCTCGCCTCTTTCGTTTAAAAGATCGCACAACATAAACGAGGCCGGCCTCCGTTCAGGCGTTCCATTTGCGAGCTCACGTCAGAGTTGACCTATGGCGTAGATGCCGGCAGACAATGAGATCACCCAACTGGGCACCAGTGTGCAGAGGTGTTGGGCTCCGATGGCCAGTTGTCAGCCATTTCTATTTATAACCCTTTTAACGCCCACCAGGACATTGGCCAAGACGTCGAGCCGTACTTCCAGGAAGTGGTGGCAGCAGTGGAGCAATCTGCAGAGGAAATCAGCACAGAGCGCGCCCCGCACACCGCCAAGCTGCAGCAGCTGTACGACAAGATCCTCGCCGCTGCTCGCCGGGAGACGGCCCCAGGTCAGTCCGCAGGTACCTGGTCGGATTTTCTGCCTGCTTGAAGTTTCGAATATTGTCATTAATTGTCCATTAAACTCAATGGCTTAAAAATGCATATATTTTTTTTCTACAACAGCTGTTTGTTTTTCTGAGCTTCTTCTTGTTTTCTTTCTTTTGCACCTTCCTTTTGTTTAGAACCATCATCCCAGTCCCCGTACGCCTCTCCGCTTCCCAATCCGGAGTTCAGCTTCCACCTATGGAAGGAGGATGACGACCTCTGTGAGTGCCCCGTCGCTCGGGTCCTCGGGGACTCTGTGCTGCCCCGGTGCTGCCTGTGCATTTCTATCAATTGTTTAAGTACTTGCCAAAGAGGCTGCAGCGATTCATTCAGAAGTCCATTCTGCTTTTCGCGTATTCGATTGGACCGTGCATTTAACATGGCAACCTTCTACAAAATCTTTCCCAGGGAAGGAGCTGGCGAAGCGTTTCCGCCCAGCCTCCATGACGGAGCAGTACTCCATTAGCCAGGATGACTTCGACGTGGCGGACCTCCCGGCGGACCTGGGCTCTGACATGCCGCGGTACTCCGTCATGTCCACAGATAGTGGCATCGAACGGGATCTGCCGGCGATTGAGCTGCTGGGGATAGGTGCCGATACCCCCGCGGGAGGCAGCGGGGCCGTGCAGGAACAGCAGGAGCCAGTCCGTCTCAATCGCCGGGGCGGCATCAGGATGAAGCCGTCCGTGACGGACAGCATGGTGCTCATCCAGGACTCCCTGGAGGAGGGGGGCACCAGCGGTACGCTGCTGAGGAAAGCGGGCAGCGGGAGCACCCCGTTGCCTAAGCAACAGCGCCACTTCACTGCTCGTGTTGTGGTTATGGGTGACGACAGAGTGCTGGGAAAGCTCGCCAGGGCCTACTACTCCCTGAGGTAAATTTTGTTCTCAGCTCTGACTGGCTTATACCTTACCTCATGACATAGTGGCTATGACATCATAATCTTTGTCCATGACATGACATCACAAAAAAAGATTCTTTACATAGCAGTCTGTTAGTAGTTGTCATTATGCCAATCTGTGCTTTCCAGCACATCCCAATGTCTCTGAAAGCAATATTTGTATGCTCTATCACTCTACTTTTAATTTTTAATTTATTAATTTCTTATATATAGGAAAAGGGAGGCAAGGCGTCTGTTTCTGACGACAAGAGTCAATCTACAGATGTACTATGTTCCAGTCACCAATGACCCTGCTGCAACCTCTCCTAGAAATGTAAGGCGGCCCCCTTTCTCTGGGTCAGTCACTGTCATCCAATCTGTTAGAGTAGAAGAATTCAGAAGTGCTCCTCTGTTCGTTCCTAGGAGAACGTTTCATCAATGAGGAGCAGTATCTGCTCTGTGGCCGCCTACCTGGGGCGGGTAGATCCGTGGTATGACTGCAACATCACCAGCCTCGGATACATGATTCCACAGATGGCGAGAACGGTACGAATCAGGAAGATGCAGCATACGTTTGCAAAATAGCTAGCAAATAAATGTGCACTTCACTCGTGTTTCTACGGAAACAAGGCCTTGCCAGAAGTGGCTCAGAATACGTTGGGTAGTTTGTTGGGCAATCTGAGGACGTGCAGTAATACAGTGTCTCAGTAAAATTACAGCTCTGGGCTTCTCCTTGCAGCAATCGAACATTTCCAGTTCCTCGGAGCCCAGCCCTTTCCTGGTGGACGTGATCTCCTACTATATCCGCACTGCGCTTCAGCCTGTCTTCTTCACCATCTACACTGTCAAGGTGGGTGCTGTCTGCTAACATATGGACACCTTGGTTTCCTCAGTCCTCAATAATATGAAATTATGTCACAGATTGTTTTTAATTCATTTTATGCATTCGTATCAATATTTACTGAAGAAAATTCAGCTTGTCTCTTGTATTGTACTGTACCACTGGTATTCCCCATCCAAATGTGCATTGTGCTTTTATCTATGGGGAAGTTCTGTTGGTGTTTCAGTGGGCTGCACTGTGGCTTCTGGGTCAGTGATCGTGATTGGCTCTGCACTGTGGCTTCTGGGTCGGTGATCGTGATTGGCTCTCTGTGTGTGCCGTTTGCATGTTCTTCCTCTATTGATGTGGGTTTCCTCTTGTGTTTGTAAAAGCATATTGGGACAAGTGGCGTGTCTAGTGTGTACGTGCGTGTGTGTCCTGTGATGGACGGGCATCTAGGGTTGGGCATCAAGCTCAGCAGAACCTGGTATTGGATTAATTGTAGGGAAACTGTCAGACAGTATGGAAGGCGACAGACTGGCCGGCTCACGTTCTGATTTCTACGGGTTTGTATCATTTGTGCTCGCAGATCTGCTTCTCCTACCCGAAGGACCCAGTCGAAGATGTTTTCATCTCCAACCTGGAGGCCGAATTCCCGGAGATCAGCCACAAAGGTTCGGGACGTGTAGGGTGGCCTGGGTGCCCAGTGCTTCATGCCCTCATTCACCAGGTCTTACCCTTTTCATTGACCTGTTATTGGTCTTTTCAGATGCATCTATCAGACACAAGAAGACTGTTACAGAAACGTACGGGGCGTTCATCTCCATTAGCTACAGAAAGGTAAGCAGGCCTGTTTTATGATTAGGAAGTGTGTTTTACAATAGCTGTATTCAGTGTTAATCAGCCTTCTTCTGCTGGCTGTTGTACTACATGATTATTGTGCAAGTGTCTGGCAACCTTAACTGCATATTGCTACATTGTCACCATGTTTTCTTCAGGCTTCCCTAAGCAACAGAGAGATAGAAAAGAATATTTTACTAAGAACAACAGAAGTGCATGTCAATGCGATTCCACCCAGTGAAACAGAAGGTGAGGCTTTAAACCATGTAAGGCATATTCTAGAATTGACTGCTATTTACAAATCATGTGCTACTTAATAGTAACACCTCTTATCTTGTCACTAAAGCAATCAATTACTTTGTGCCGCAACTGACAGTAATTATCGCAATTAAGTGCAGGTCATTCAATTACGATTGAAACGAATGAAAATCAGTGTTTTAGTTGATTCCACTTTTGAGCCAGTGGGGTAATTCAGGAAAGGTGGTCTGTTATTAATTGTCAATATAAGAATCTTGTTTATGCCTCACACTTTTTAAAAACAGTTTGATGTTAAAATTTATATTGTCTAAACATCTGATATTATCGTTATAGACCAGAAGACCATATAATTAGACTATAATTCTGTCAACTTGCACTTTCCTCGTACTTGTGTGAAAGGCTATTTGAGGGCAGTTATGTTCCAGTAAGGTTGTGTCTAAATTGGCATGCAGAAATACGGAAGTAATATGTAATCTAGCAGGGAAAATCCCTTCCTTCAGTAGCTCCGGTGATCTAAACCTAACAAGGAAGCATAAACCCTCTGATTACAGCAGAATCCATTCTCTCCATTAAAAATACAAAAAAAATCTATTTTTGTTACCATATCTATACAGCGTTTCTGTCAACTATTGTCTGGTTTAGTTAACGGGACGTCGGCTACATTCAGCATGATCCCGCTGTTCATTTCCCTGTAAATGTGGAAACAAACAAATGCTGAGATTAGCTATTACAAAACAGCACTCGTCTTGCCATCGTTTACCCGGCATGAACCCACATTTCGTTACACAGGATAAATGTGACATCTGCACATCAGAGCGAGCAGCACATGCAAATAGCCAACTTAAATATTCTCATATGAAATAAAAGAAATAATAAAAATAGTATGTTTAGTACTAAAATGCCATAGTCCACGGTGTGCTGTAAGTCCAATGTATTTTAAATATGCATATGTATTATTATTAGTAGTAGTAGTAGTAATAGCACAGCATAGTATTAAGTAGTATTAGTACTAATGCACAGCAGATCTTGCGTTATATGTGATTATTCATATATGGCCGTTCTACTCCCAGATCTCGACTGGCTGACTGTATATTTCGCTGACTCCAAATCAAAAAACAGCACGGTGGGTGTTTTTTAAATATAATTCTGTATATATGTATTATGTGCAGTACTGTACAGAAGTCTTAGCCAGCCAAAGAAGATGATGTTTAAATGATGTTCACGTTGGTGTAAAACTATGATTTTATGTTTGTTTCAAACTCAAAAATTAAATTCATCGCAGTATTTGCAGCAACCGTGCGACATACCAATGTATTTGAATCAGTGTTCATCTAGCCATCCAACAAGATATCAGTAACTTTTTGGAGAACAGATGAAATTCTTGTTAGTCTGAGTTGCTGTTGATTGGCATAACTTCTAATGCTCATTTGTGTTTGTTCTGAGCAAATATACACTTACTACCAAGATAAATAGCCTTAGACATTATCTGTGACTGCCTTAGGCTTTTGCCCAGTACTGTATGAATATGTTTAGTTGCTCACTTGTGATTAAAATGTTTACAATATGCACCTGCAGCTGGTAACCATTTGATCGTAAATCCTTTTTTTTTCATCTTGCACTGGCAGGAGACCAAAATCAGGACATGTAACATTAAATTCCAGTCACTTGAGAATAAAAGTTTCAATGTTTGTCTTGACAAAGATTCACGCCGGACTTTTAAAGACGTTCAAAGGTGAGTAGTCAGCGGTGCAAGACGTCCAGAGCATTGTGGCACACTAGCAAAAGTGATGTTCCTTAAAAAAAAACAACAAAACACTGACATTTAAACTGCTCTTGTTTGCCAGTATTGAAATCACCCCATGTGTGGATCCAGGATACAGTGTCCAGAAGAGCGCAAATAATAAATTCAGCCTTGGTGGAGAGAAGCACCCTGGACTGTGCAAGTACATGAGCAAAGCCCTTCTTCTGCCCCTCAATACCTTTGCAGGAATTATCCACTGACCAGGGGACTTAGGGGGAAAGGGTGAATCATCTGCAGAGGCTTACGCTGAAGTTCACATCAGCCACTGACTCTTTACCCACCTCTGTATCAACCACCCACCGCCTCCAGTAAGGAGCTGAACTCTCCACAGTAGTTAGCATACTGTAAGTCTCTCGCTGATGGTTGATTTTCCA